AGTCTCATTTTATGTATCATAAAACAAATAGAAAAGCTCGCACAACTGTTGTGCTGATTAGAAGCCCGGGAGAGAAGTCGTGAAATATTCTGAAGCTAGTAGTGAGCTGTATGACATTCTTTGAGCATCCCTGTTTAAGCTGAGAACCCTGCGATTTGTTCAAGTTTGAGCTAAATGTGAGTGGATGATATGTCTATCACCAAAAGTGTGAACGATTGCTGCAGTCGTTGATGTGAATAACTGAACATAAAGTAAAAATGTCCCTAATTAGATTCAAGTACTAATGATATCCTGAGGAATATAGCCCAAAAATTATGTTTTTAGAACTTTGATTTCGTAGAGATTTCAAAAAATTCCGAAAACAGTGTACGGATATTTTAAATTATCTTGAATTGTCTCAGTCACCCGTTCTATCTGGAAAAAGTGCCTTTCAATGTACTAACGTGAGTGACAATCATTGTATACATATTTACATACAACAGCGCGTTGCTTCTACGATATAGTCTTGGTGAAAAGGCCAAATGCCAGTGTCTCTTCTTAGAAAAACTCGCGAGTTTTAAGATTGTGAGCGCCATTCCAAGTGACTGGTTTCTTCTGTATAGTGTGAAGTTAAGCTGTTTCCTAGCTCTCAGAGGGCCTTCCAAACGAGCGCCCGCACACAATATGGTAATTACTGAAGACTCGCTCTATTGTGCGAGGAAACCGCAACTTTTGCCCTTTGTTACTCAGAGCCTCTGTTTGATTTGAGACCGAGATACCTGTATCGAAAACGGGTTAATGAAGAAATGCTTCACTACAAACGGCTTAGATGTTGCCAACCGTAAACTAATAGTGTGCATTATTATTGGCCAACATTTGCATACAGTTCATCGTAAGTTTGTGTTAATTTTTCTGGATCTCGATATGTTACCTACATAGCTTCAATCAATTAAAAAAAGCTTTCCGACCGCAATTGTATTAAAAATTCCATTATTTGACTCGAGGATTACAGGAGGTAGCCGCTTTTGCTTATTCCTGCTGTGACCAGAAGATGCCTGCGTGAACGCTCAAGGTAAATTTCTGATCTTTCCTGCATTCACTACTAAAGTCATTCATCCTCGATCGGAGCCCTCCATTCACTCACTTCCCACGCCAAGCCAAAGACAAATTTGAGTCGTGCGTTCCATCTTTTGTGCACGTTGGGCTATCTGTTGGTTCTTTTTAAGGCGATCAGCAGCCAGCATTAGTTTCTTCATTAGGCAAAAATTTTTGTGGTGCTGGGATGCCCATTGAAAAGACAGTCGCGTCAGTGAAGAAAGGTGCCTGCAGATGCGTGCTCATGCAGAGCTCAGCTATATTACGAGATAGGAAACCGTTTCGTAGGCCTCATTTCAAATAAATTTGAGCTTGTCCACCGTGTTGCTGAAATAATGAAATATTATTTCTGTTTTAGTTTTTAGTAAAAGTTCATGCCTATACTTTCGAGAAATTAAACTCAAAATGTTTTTATGCGTATTTTATTCATAATTGTACTCGAATCGCACCCAGAAATTCAAATACGGAAAATGTGTTATATCTCTTATTAAAAAGCATGCTTTCGTATAAAAGTACACGATAAAGTATAGAAAAACTTTTTATCGGAAAACGACGAAATTAAAAAACACTTTAATTATATTCGTCTCTAGTAAAACGTGTACCAAAATAAATTTCAAATATTTAATCGGATATTCGGCACTAAAAATTTCTTTGCCGTTCCGGTAACGTTAAAAAATTCCGGGTCCCGAGCCTACGCTCTGCGACTTCTTCAGTCATGATGGAAACTGCTGATAGGCAAATCAGATAATCGTCCCATGACCAGACACTCGAGGCAGTTTATCAATCTCTGGCCAGCACTGACCGCTGGTCATTTCCGATTACGATACATGCAATGATGACGGTCATCACACGTCAGTTGGACGCGCAGTGCGCATAGCTCGATAATCATCTATACTTAGCGGAAGCCATTAATATGCATTCCGTCGACGGGACTGACCAGATCAACGAGAGGTTAAGAACTTATGATGTGGCAAATTGTTGCGTAATTGAGTGGTAAAAAACGAGTCGAGGGGAGAGCGCGAGTCACGCTAAATTGAGGGAGGGTCGAGAACGCAGGCGGCGAGGGCTTGTGCGGCAAAGGATGGTCACCGATTGACACGCGCGCTCGCACTTTGAACGTTCAGAATACGTTATGAATATGTGCATACGATGATCTTGAAGTATCATTTTCTTTAAACGGGCAGAGCTTTTTGATTATAAATTGTTTTCGAACTTTTTGTCGGTATGTTTGTACATCGATCATGTAGAATGTGCAAAAAAACTTCTGATTTTTTTTTTTCGTTTGAACTTGCCGATTAACACCTCTGCAAAATTGGCTACTGGAGCTATTGATTGTATCAAAATATAATCGCATATTTATTTGATGGGAATGACAATCTTCTAATATGGATTGCTAAATTATCCTATAATTTTAGACAAAAATAATGATAATAATACTGATTAGTTTAGCAGTTCACATGTCGCAGTATGAAAAGCTATACCTAAATTTTAGCTTCTGTACTGTGTCATTAAACCACTTGCATGATGATTATATTTATTATAAAAGAAAAACACGAAAAAGCAGGAAAATACACAAACACATCATTTCTGCCTAAAGTTTCTTCCACGTCTAGCACGAGTAAATTTTAAAATAGATAATTTTCTATGGCATTAATTACTATGGCAAGCAGCCAGACTACCCGTAAGGTTGGGTGCCGTTCTCACGATTAGTGAAGACCGTACGTAACGGAGCGCATAAACGACGGCCTCACTGCACGCCTAAATAAAGCGCTCGCTTGCATACTAAACGCACTGAATAATGCAGCTATCAAATATGAGGCCATGGCCGTTTGTGCGCCACGAACGCAGGCTCGTGATTCATTAAAAATTTTCGTCGTATCAGAGTCGGCCGAAATCCGGTTATTCTTATTCGTCCGTCATTTCGTCCGCATTTAAAACTTGCTTATGAATTATACTCATACTTACTTGCTTAGAATTCAAGCCACGTTTGGCCTCTCAGACCTTCTGCTGTAATGCAACTTAAAGAAGCATATGCATTCCCACGCACTGCGCATTAGTTGAATGCCGCATAATCCAGAATACGGAAAATATGAATGTATTCATAATTAAGCTTATTCGGCTAATATGAAGCTATGGCAGTCTCAACACGAATACGGACTGGATGAATTCATGTCCTAAAATCATGCTAATGAGATGAATTAAACACAAATGTATGTTGGTCTGTGTTTAACATGGCAACGGAGAGTTCTCGTTTGTTATCTACTTCTCAATGAGCAGGAGATTGACGTTGAGTAAATGCCGTATAAATCATCGGCTTTCATTATACGGGTTTAATATGCACCAGGAAGTATAAAACTCGATTTTCAAACATAGACATGAATTTAAATGAATTAAAATTCAAAGGCAACAACTAAATTGCACAAATGTGAATGGAAAACACATTTTTAACGGGGAGTTCAAATTAAAAGTAGTCGCATTATTAAGTATGATCAATTTTTATTAACGATCACTGAGATTTAAATACGCAAATTTTCCCGTTGGGATAGCGCACTCGTTATAAGAAGAACATGACGTCAAATTCTAGGGGGTCTATACAGCCCGAGAACTGGGGATTTTTCAGTCACGTGCTGGGGCCTAGCAGACTGATTAGTCTAAATCCTCAACCACACCAGAGTGCGTGAAAACTTTGGTCGTAGTTCCTCGTGACTGGCCCGACGTCGTTCAGCAGCTGGCGTGGTGTACGTAAACTCTAGTCAATCCGCTAACGCGATGGTGAGTCACAGACCAAATGTTCGCAAATCCTTTCAGAAATTATGACTTGACTGACCAGAACTCCGGTTGCACGCTTTTATGAGCGAACAGGAATAATAAGATCCTTCCGTTTCCAAAACTACATAATGCTAATCTTTTTTAATGCTAATAAATTGGGTGTTTATCTAGATTATAATTAATTTTGTTAGGTATTCGTAATAAACTGACATTCTTGCTCTTTAAACTAGAAAAAAGATGCATGGTTTGAATATGAAATGCGTGGTTTTCATATTGATCTTCACATGAAATTGGATGTTAGGCACTTAAAGTGGTTCTATATTGTTCAGCCAGCGCAAAAAATTTTGGAATATGGTATCAAATTATTTTGTAGAAAGTAAACTTTCACTCAGTGGAAAAAACAGGAACAGAATAACTTTTCCATTGAATATATTTTTGTATTTGCTGTATATAGTAATTAAAGGTGCTTAAGGTATTGTCAAACGTAATTGAAATTCAGTAAACCTGATCGACGTTGTGGCACTATGTTACGAAAAACTCTCGACATATTAATAAAAACAAACCGTAAGTGAGCCGAGATTGGAAAAAACCGAAGTATTTGCAACTATTCTGCGACTTAAATTTTTATTACTTATTTCAGGTTTGCTGCATAAAGCATGCATGTACTTGAACTACCTGAAATTTTCCAAGTATTTTGTAGAACACGCTAAAGTTACAGTAAAGTTCTCAAATGCTGATGCAAGATTATGTCAGCAAAAAAATGATAGATAATAACGATCCTGTTTACTTGGGTCCAATTTTCAATTTATTTGCAGGAACAGCTAGAGATATTAATGTAGCGGTGTTCATGTTGCAACATGAATACCAAGATGTTTACCATTAGTGTTGTTGAATACCAAGATGAATACCTCACCATTAATGTTTTCGGTCACTAAACCTTTGATTCAATTAGCGCTGAGCAAATGCCCTTATATTTCTACTATAAATTCCCTTTTGCCCCGTTTTAAAATACATCAACATCATGATTATTAATCATGTATATATATGAGAACTGCTAGGAAAATTGTAGAAATAGGAAGGAATAGTTCAGGACAAGCAATAATACACCTCACTCTCAGCAATGAATCAGCCAGTAAATGAGAATTTATTCTTTCCAGCTGCGCCGCTGCATAAGATGGAGAGGGACTGCATCGCCTCGCCTCCCGGAAGAGGTGAGTACTGCCCGTTGTTAAGTTATATTTTGTCTTCATAAATAAATATATCAATGATTTTCTCGGTGTGTAAATGAGACATAAAATGCTCAAGTTTATCTTAGTCAATTTACTCTAGTTCATATTGAATTAATGATTGTATGAAGTAATTTTTCATGTCATATCAATCGACGAGATTCGTTTTCAAAGTAATGACGATGTCGAGGAATTTTCAGGTAAGTGTTATTGTTTGTATAAGAATTATATAATTGTGAACGTCGGACTAAAATTTAAATCGAATCGAAAAAATAAGCATTCAGGTGAATAAATATTCTATTCTGACCATATACGAGTACAATCAAGTATAAGCGCCAAACCGACAGCAAATAAAAGAAGGTGATAACGAAGTTAGCTGCAGGGACGCCAAAGAAAGAGACGAGACCAAACCTGGCGCCTTGGAACACAGGATTATTGATTCGCTCCTTGTTAATAAAGGGAGCCTTGCTGCTGAAGGCGCCTGAGCAGATCTCGGACTGTGTTGCGAGCACAAACTACAACATTACTGCCGAGACCTTGAATTATTTATAGTTTAAACAACTATTATTGTTCAGCGTTGAATGGACCTACATAATGCAGATTGAATTTACCGCTTACGTTCAACATCAAGGAGTGCACTCATATTCCTTTCATTTTTTGACATTTAAATCGATTTATGTATTTGCTGGAGCATTTAAATCTTAGATATGGAATTGTGCGGTGGATGTTTGAATGATCGTTGCATTATTCATTATATACGGCTCATCGATTGCATCACCATGCAATGGATATCGTAATATTCGGAGTCTGAAAAACTTCTCTACAGTGTCTAAGGTTTTAATTTCATAAATAATGCACTTTCAAAAAATGATATTTTTTCAGCTACTGCCATCTCCCTCACTAAGGCTAAAGTCATTTATTGAGCGTTCAAGGAATGTTAAAAAAAACTGCAAGCAACCAAGCAAGCAAAAGCTTCTTGTCTCCTGTGCCGTGCAAGATGCCGCCCGAGCAGCGGCTTGTTAGGTCTATTAGCCACAAAACGTCCGCTCGCGGCTCCGTTCGTCATTCCTCCGGAGTGACGATATAATTTCTACTTTGCAGACTCAATCATTTAAAAGCCCTTGACCAAACGAAAGATTCATTTTAAATAAATCAATGATTTTTCAATTCTTAGAATATCATTTTAATATAGAAGTAGGTAAAACCCAAACCCTAGCTCCATGATGACCCCATCGGAATGATAGCATATATATGCTTGTTTCATCATAGAATGATGATACAAGCAAGATGATCATCATAGAATGATGATAGAAGCATAGCAAATAACACGTGACAAAAATAAAAAATAACGAATTTGAAATTAATACAAAAATACTCATAAAAAAAGTCGTTTAAAGTGATTAACCAATAAAATTTATATCGTGCATTAATTTCCAGTAGCGCAAAAAACGCATATTTTTATGATATTCTTGGTGTTAAGGAAACCAACGAGTTTGACACACCCACGCAAGCAGTGCATAAGAATAAGAGGAGCCCAGACGCATGTGTACACGCAAAGCTAACAAGGCGCTCGTGCGCTCCTAAACAGAAACATTCATCTCGTCTCTGCCTGTAAACACGGGAATTTCAGGCATGAGCTCGCTAAAGCAAGAATATGTGCCTTAGTTTGCCAGCAAACTCACGGCTGCATGATCATCGAGCTAAAAAAAAACCATGGTAGTGGTTCTTCTCCGAAGTGCGTTTGACATCGACGACGCAAGCACGCGAAGACTTTTTTAAAGAAAATTCTGCAGGTTGTATTGGGCCCTGTATTCTATAATTTTAGAATAGCATGCAGTATCTTAATTTTTGTATTAATTTCGAGTTGTTTAACATAATGCCCTTGGCAATTGAAATTTGGGTCTGAGCATCGTTTTGTTCGAACAATACCTTTTGTGCCGTCCGTACAAACTGTAATTCCAGATAAAACTTGCGAAGCGTCTAATTGCCTCAAATAAAAACAGGAACTAATAACTATCGTACTGTAGTTAATCTACTCATTATTTTAGAACTTAGATTATCCAGACCTAAATTTACGTGATTTTTTCTTTATTCTTACTTTATTCTTACTCTTTTGATAATTCCCTGTAATACATCATAAATAGTCGTATTGGTTTTGAAGACCGCCCGTCTCTCCCATTTCACACAACCATGTAAAATGTGTTTTAATCACTGGATGCTTCCAAGTTTCTTGATGTTTGTTACCGAGCTCTGCCTGCTTCTCTTTGGTATTGTGTGCGTTCAGCTTGAGTTTTGGGCGAAGTTATCAGGAAGTTTAGCCGAAGCAGGGAAGCAGAGGCGAGAGGCCGGCCTATATGGGCCTAGCATCTTTAACTGACTCTCTCTTACCGCAAGAAAATGAAGTCTGTTGCGCCCTATAAGATGCCTTCAGTGCCCTGTCTTCGTCGCCTTCGTTCTTTCCACGAGTAATCGCAGAAATAATGAACAAAATAGTTAAATATTTATTAGTGGTATTAAATATTTTAATTTGGCAGATTCCACTTAGTTCACTCTATTTTTCCAACAAGGAAATTCATTCAGTGCCATGTCTTCGTTGCCTTAATTCGTTCTTTCCACGAGTAATCGCAGAAATAATGAACAAAATAGTTAAATATTTTTTAGTGGGATTAAATATTTTAATTTGACAGATTCCCTTCAGTTCACTCTATTTTTCTAACAATAGAATTCGTAGAAAAAAATTTGTAAGAAACCGGAGTTTTCTGGTACACGTTTCCAGTTTGAATGATTTTGAGTTTTAAAATATTATTTACACAAGCATTCGGTAATACTTTAAAATTAAAGTGATGGAGTAAAACAGTTATTGATTGGAACAAATGACGTTCGGAGGTACCGGTAGGTGAAGAAGCAGAAAGAGATTCTTATAATGATGGAACCAAGATTGGCGGAAGTAAAATGATAAATTAAGTATATTGTCAATTAAAAATAAAGCCAAATTGTACATTATTTTCAATTTATTCAACTCGTTTCTCTATTATTGTTTACTACTATTTCACAAGTATTGTTTCACCATTATTATTCCAAGATTCTTGATATGATTTCGGGACAGCTGCATGTGTGCAGAGGCATACTACATCACGTTTGCTAACTGAATTGCGTTCGATTTTTTTCTGCTTCATTTTTTCCAATGCCAAGTGAAGGAAAATTTATGAAAAACCTACGATTGTTTTCCAGTTTATGTAATATATTTAGGGATTAGATAAATATCCGAAAAGATAGCAGTCCTCCAACAAACTTTTACATTTCTCTCTACTTTTATTTATATCCTCCACATTTATTTTCTCATTGTTTTTTCTGGAAATTTTCCCTTTATGCTACTCTCCACATTTTCTATGAATCCCACATTCATTTCCTTGCCATCCCCCGGAAATTCTACCTACGCCACTCCTCACATCCCATGAAAATTTCCCCAGCGCAACAAACGATATCATCTGGAAATTATCCCTTTATGTTTTTATCCACATCCTCTGAAAATTCTCACTTCGCAACCCATAACATGCTATGAAAATTTTTAGTGCCGTTTGCTCCACATATTCTGTAAATTCTCCCTGCTCCACCCCTCACATCCTCTGGAATCTCCTATAGTCACCCTTCATATCCCCTGGAAATTTTCCCTACCCCACCCTTCACATCCTCTGAAAATTCCCTATGTCATGGGGGAATTCATTCATATCCCCTGGAAATTCTCCCTACGCCACCCCTCACATCCTCTGAAATCCCCTATGTCACCCTTCATATCCCCTGGAAATTCTCCCTACGTCACCCCTCACATCCTCTGAAAATCCCCTATGTCACCCTTCATATCCCCTGGAAGTTCTCCCTACGCCACCCCTCACATCCTCGGGAAATTTCCCTCGCATCTCCCCGAGGGTAACCGCTGACCGTCGGTCAGTGTGTGTAGGGCCCGGGAAACTTGCTGACTACCTCGCAACAGCAATTGAATAGGAAAGAGGGGCGAGAGCAGCCAGCGAATATGAGGGGAAACGCTCCGTCCTCCTCGCAAACCTGCACAAGATTATTACAAGTTTTGTGTGTGCAGCGTTCCGTACTCATACGAAGTCGCAGACGTAATGAGGAAGTTTATTGACCGTTAGACATACACGGCATTCGGTTCTGTTAGGTTGAAAACACGTACTTGTTATCGGCACATTAATGGAAATCCCAAAAGGAAAAATAGTTGCTGAATACCACGTTATAATTTTTACACGGTAGCATGAGTTTAGCTAACTCATCAAGCATCACTGGTGCATGGTAGCCAGAGCACGACACATTAAGCATCACTGGTGCATGGTAGCCAGAGCATGACACATTAAGCATCACTGGTGCATGGTAGCCAGAGCACGACACATTAAGCATCACTGGTGCATGGTAGCCAGAGCACGACACATTAAGCATCACTGGTGCATGGTAGCCAGAGCACGACACATCAAGCATCACTTTGCATGATAGCCAGAGCACGACACATCAAGCACCATTAATGCATGGTAACTAAGGCCACCAGATCAAGAGTGCTGCTGTCTTCCTCAACTTGCGACGTCCGAAATACCCGAATTAAATCAGCCCAAAGGGGCCATGACGCCAGTCAATAAAGCGGCGCAACGCTGCAGTGAAAGATGTTGAAATTCCCCCGCCTCTACGGACTGGACAGTATTTGAATGGCTAAACAACACTTTCAATAGGAACGCTAGGGGCTTTCAAGTGGTCACGATGGAGGGGCCGAGCCGTCCAGCAGCTGTCAGCGGGGAGCACTGGTCGAGTGATAGAGGTCCATGTATGCAGGCGGAATTGAGAGAGAGGCGTTACAGTCGCGAAGTGACGCAAAGAATAATTAGAAATGGGTTGCAGGAAAATTTAGGACTGTGTATGCAGACAGAATTGAGAGAGAGGCGTTACAGTCGTGAAGAGACGCAAAGAATAATTAGAAATGG